TATACATAATATATGAAGGTTATGCTCCGTACCTATTTAAAAAAAAGTTGCTATAAGAATCAAATCAACCATTCTTTCATTTGTTTTTTTTTCCATATTAATTTTAATACCCAGCCCTAGCTGGCAAATATGTATACGTTCTTTAACAACAACTTTGTTGTACTGTTACTAAATGCATCATTATATTTCGCATAAAATGCATCCAATCAACTGCTTAATCAGTCTGATAGTAAACAAATATGCTTTGTTAGGTTTAGCTTTAATTATTTGATTCCGGGTAGGGTGGGGAATTGATTTTTTAAAAATTTTACTCCATTCTTTAATTTTTTGCAATGTCACATTCAGAGTTTGGCCACAACTTTTTGTAGGCCCTGATTGTACTATGCCAGGTTAGGTTAGCATATATAGAGAGCTAGATAGTCACGCAAGGTTGCCAAAATTAGGTCAGACGTCCAATGTCCAGGGCATCTTCATTCAGATTTTATCTAAGGTTTCGTCTTGAGGTTTAAGAATGGTTTGAAATTTAAAGTACTAGGCTTTCAGGGCGCTTCGCGTTCATCTGTTTCAGTTGTTCACATTTTCGGGTTGTTTGTAAATCATAAACAAAAAAGTTTACGGATTTCATAAAAAAAATCGTGAATATTCAAAATTTCGTGAAAATCGAAATGGTTGGTGACACATTCTTAAAATTTTGATCATCTATACACCTTCCCTGGGGTCATGTGAGGTCCCACTAAAAATGTGGGCCCGATCGGATCAGCCGTTTTGACATTTTTTAGACACAAACAAACAAACAGACAGACACCCAGACACATAAGCAAAGTATAAATGTAGAAGATATCTGAATAAAGAGCACAGTTGGAAAGAATAAGAAGTTATAAATTCCTAAAAAATTTATTTCCAATTATAAATAATATACATTTATAGATATCTACAATTAAAAGTTATAAAAGATAAAAAACTATCTGACACGGTTGCCTAATCGACCAGATAGAAAAGAATTAAATATTTGTTCAAAAATATATTTTTTTTCTGAAAAAAAATCTGAACGAATTCCGAGAATTATAGCTTTGAAAAAATATTTAACCCTGAAAGATTTGTAAGATTCAAGTTCAAGTATAAAGTATAAAAACTGGATAAAAATGTAAAAACCTGAGCATTTTTTTTCTTTTTTTTTTTGGTTTCAGTCTCTTGTAAAATGCTGCACAGGGAGAGTTCGAATTATGTAGAGAAAAAAATACTGTCGTAGTATGGTAAACAGAAGAAGAAAAAAATTGGAATGTTCCGACTTTAAAAAATTGTGTTTTAAACACGTAGATTTAGCCTAATTAGTAAACTGACAACAGATAGCTGATGTGTTAAAGTACTTAAAGTTGATGGCTGTAAACCCACTTTAACAACAAAAAGTGACTTATTAAAAGTATATCAATCCTAGGAAAAAATCACATAACGAAGAGGGGAGGGGGGGATTTTAAGAAGGTGAGGGGGTTATGGCGGGAGGCTACTTGAGATTTGAAGTTTTTGTAAACCTCCCTCAAAATCCCCTTTTTCCATCCACATTGTTCAATTTTTAATATGCACATAGTTCGCACAATTATGCTTTTGCTAATCAGTGCAATTTCAGAGAAAAACAATTTTGGGATTTTCAAGTATTAAATTTGAGATCAAATGTTAAGTGTAGGAACACGTGGACAGTCTTGAATTGATTGATGATTAGATAAATGATTGATTAACTGATTTCTAATTGATTAATATGCTCCCAGGTTTTAAAGGGAAACTGCTGATCTCTCGCAAACAAGTTTGGTCGGCTTGTCAAAGAATCCTTCGTCGATATCGTCAACGACGCCTCGCGGCTTTTTCAAGTCGACCATTGACTCAGAGCAGTAGAAGTCAATATCGTCGTCAAGTTCCGGCTCGGAGTTGAAGGCTTTTAGTTCAGATTCGATGATGCTCTCGAAGGTGGTTGTTCTGGCTGGTTCTTCGGGCTCACTAATGCAACTACTACTACACATTGACGAGGCAGGTTCAGAGCTCCCTAGTAAACTGTCGGTCAGCAGGGGGGAAACTGGTTTGGTAAAAGAAGAAACTGGTATTTTGTTAAAACTTGGAACGGGGCGTAGGGGATGGTTTCGGCCGGCGATGGCGGCGGGACAAGGGCGATAAAATCGAGCATCAAACATGTATTCTCCAGCCGGTCCTTGAAACACTGCTCCACAACAAATTTCAACTCTGAAACAAAATTATTTATCAAATTCAGATAGCTTCAAATTTGTTTGGTTTTAGTGTCTCACCTTTTCCAACTTGAAGAATCGAAAAATCCGCAAATGCTGTTTTCCTGGATTTGAGGCTGAGGCAAAGGGGTTTGCATTCGAGAATATTCGCTCTCTAGATCATCGGAGTAGTTGGAAAGAGGGCTGTCAGTTCGGCGGGCTGGGATTTCAGTCTGGCAGGTAGGGCTGTAAGTTTGGCGGGTAGGGCTATCAGTTTGGCGGGCAGGGCTATCAGTTTGGCGGGCAGGGCTACTAAAAATATTCGGAGCATACTTTTCCTTTTCCTTCTTGTTCTTGCTCTTGTAGACATGTTTGCGCCTCTTGATGATCTCAATCTGGGGTTTCTTAGATTTCTTCACAAAGGATTTTACACCGGGACCAGCCCTGAAATAGTTATAAAATCAAGCCAGCAAAATAAATCATATTTTTTAATGATCATTCTTTAAGGTTGAATGGACAATAATAACAATAATAATATTAATAATAATAGCTACAAAAATAATGGTAAATCAAAAAAATAAAAGTCGCAAAGACCCCCAATATTTAGGAAAAGAAAACTAAAATATTAACATAAAATTCAAATAAAATGTGTTACCTAATAAAACGCAGGCATTACAGATATCTCCCTCTCTCTCCTGGAAAAATATTTTTGTTAAACAAATTTTCATTTAAGATATTTATTTAAGGGGCTCTCTCCTTGTAATTAAATTTACCCTGAAGTGACCAATACTAATGGAAAACATTATCATTTAACTGATCAATAATGATTAAAATTAGTCTTTTCTAAAGTAAAGATTGGGTTGAACTCTCAAGATTTCCTCCCCTGTTTCTGCAGCAAAAAACGCAAGTAACTTTTAATGTCAAGCCCCAGTTAAATAGGTTTTAAAGGTACGGCTATGACTCGGAAATGCCACTCTATGAATTAAGAGTTACTTGAAACTACGCCTACCGTCCGTTAAGGCCTGTTTGGTGAGTTATGCCAATAGAACTTGACATTGCTCTGATTTGCAAAAACCAGGCGACATATTGATTGATTGATAAATAATACAAGTTTATATTGTTTTTACAACGATTACAAACTCCAAAGTACACAAAGCAGATATATAACTATACATATATATTTAAATATCTGAATAAAACAAGATTTTGGTTTGTCACAAATTTACTTTGAATTTATATATAATGAAAACACTCCGATGACGTGGCAAACTTATCTCTGATTAGGTTCAGATAAAAAGGCTAATATGACTTTGAAAACCTACATCTGAATAGGTCAAGATATCTCTAAACAGGTCAAATACCTTGAAAACCTACATCTGAATAGGTCAAGATATCTCTAAACAGGTCAAATACCTTGAAAACCTACATCTGAATAGGTCAAGATATCTCTAAACAGGTCAAATACCTTGAAAACCTACATCTGAATAGGTCAAGATATCTCTAAACAGGTCAAATACCTTGAAAACCTACATCTGAATAGGTCAAGATATCTCTAAACAGGTCAAATACCTTGAAAACCTACATCTGAATAGGTCAAGATATCTCTAAACAGGTCAAATACCTTAAAAACCTACATCTGATAGGTCCAGATATTTCTAAACAGGTCAAATACCTTGAAAACCTACCTCTAAAAGTTCAAAGACCTTGAAAACCTACCTCTAGAAGATCAAAGACCTTGAAAACCTACCTCTGAAAGATCAAAGACCTTGATAACTTACCTCTGAAAGATCAAAGACCTTGAAAACCGACCTCTGAAAAATCAAAGACCTTGAAAACCTTCCTCTGAAAGGTCACAGACCTTGAAAACCTTCCACTGAAAGTTCAAAGACCTTTGAAAACCTACCTCTGAAAGGTCGAAGCACGTGTAGAAAGTGTCCTTGTACTTATCACTATCTGTAAACCGTGAACTGAATAGAGACAAAACATTTTACTCAATTAATAAATCAATTATCTATTAACTCACTCACTCACTCACTCACCCACTCACTCACTCACTCACTCACTCACTCACTCA